TGTTCCTATTACCCAGGCAAAACACACTAAAGGTGTGAACTCAGTTGTGCAGGTGGAAGTAAGGCAAGGGGGCCAATGAGGAAATATTTAGGAAATACATATATTTAGGCTAATTTAAGAAAATGTATTTCAGAAAGGTAAGATAACATTTAGTATGTGAGAAGTACCTGAGATGATTCCAAGTTCCCACGGAGAGTATGTCCTGAAGTATTTCCACTTCAGGGATGGACAGGCAAGTGGAGGGGCTGAAGGGGGTAGAAGGGAAAGTATGTATGTGATTCAGGTGTGTCTGTCTGACGCTAAGTGAAAAGTGCTAGACAGTTGACATAACTACAGGAAAGGAGAGATTTACTCGATTCCTCTACCCTCTGGTTACTATCACTTATAGAAAGATAAGAAATTCTGTTTAGGAAACCTTGAATATGACTGAGACTATGAAACCTTTGGGATTGAAGAAAGGGGCTATAGGGATACAAGTGAAAATCTGGGATCTCAGAGGAGCTAAGGAACTTTGATAGATGAGAAATAGGATAAATGAAAGAAGATGATCTAAATCTGAGACGGAAAAGAAGATTAAGTAAACAGAGAATTGTAGCCTACATCATACCAAGGAACCAGAAATAAAAAGCAAGGTTTTAGAAACCATGCCATAACAACTTTATAAACCATTGTGGGCGCCATAGCCTTGCTTAGGACAATATTTACAAAGTTACGGGCTGATCTTAAAATGGTCTTGTGCTCAAGTGGCATGTCTCCTGCAGAGAGGGGAGGCAGGAGATGAGCCTGAGTTGAAAAGGTGACTAGAGTCAGCAAGAAAAACAAGGAAAAGGAAAGGTGGTGTGCAGGGAGAGGTATTTTAAGTTCTCCACAAAGTGTGATCTGCTGCTAAGGAAAAACGAGGCTATTGGCACATCGGCCTCTAGTGTCGGGAAGAGTCACTGCAGTTTTGCCTGCTCTTATGCAAAGTTGTTTTGTTCTGTTAACTTGAGCAAACATTTACAATAGTAATCTCTAGTGACCCAGGGACTACTTGTTGTACCCTACTGTTGCCCTGAACTTGAATCTTACCACACCTCCATCCCCAAATGGGGTGTTCAGTGCTGGCCTGGCTGGAGGCAAGTGTATGCCTAGTATACTCTGGAATTGCCTCTCAGTGCCTGGGAATTTTGCTACTAGCGCCTTCAAAGGGAGGATGGGGTACTGCTCATGCTTGAAATAAAGGCCTTCACCTTTAGTTTTAATTAACCTGCAGTTAAAATTTCCCTGGTAAAGCCGGCGGCGTGGCCACGCCTGATATCCTAGCACTCTTGGTAGGCTCTGAGGCGGGCGGATTGCTCGAGGTCAGCAGTTTGAAACCAGCAAGAGCGAGACCCTGTCTCTATTATATACAAAGAAATTAATGCCAACTATATATATAGAAAAATTAGCCGGGCATGGTGCGCATGCCTGTAGTCCCAGCTACTTGGGAGGTGAGGCAGGAGGGATCCCTTGAGCCCAGGAGTTTGAGGGTTGCTGTGAGCTAGGCTGACGCCATGGCACTCACTCTAGTCTGGCATGGCACTCACTCTAGTCTGGGCAACAAAGCGAGACTCTTGTCTCAAAAAAAAAAAAATTTTCCTGGTATAACAGAAACATAACCTTACACAGCAATCCCTGTTGTTGTATAATGTCAGGTGTAGGACCAGCAACTTTTTTGAGGAAGATTTTGGTGACAGCCAGCTATCTTGAGGTGGATTGATTCCCTCACTTCCTCCCTTCCTCCCTTCCTCCAGTCCTTCTTTCCTTCCAGATGTAGCCAGTTTAGACTATGAAGAGGTGAAAAAACTGCCTTAAGTTCCTTCCCTCACATTAGGCTGCTTTGGATGCTGTCATTTCTACCTTAGCATACCATGGGCAGGGCTTATAAATCTCCAAATTCCTCAGTCTCATTGTATGGAGAATGGGGTAATAATAGAAGGTACCACTTAGGGTTTTTGTGAGGATTAAATGAGGCGATGCCTTTAAAGCACTTAGCACACGTACCTGACACAAAGAAGCTGTTGATCAGTGTCAGCTAGATGGCACTAGCATTAGCACTTTGGTTTTTCTCTGAGAGGAGGAGTTGAATTACACTGAGCCTCTCACCAGAAATGGCTGGTACCTTGATGAGAACCTCAGACCTTCTGTGGAAGCACTGTGGTTTGAAGGGTGGTTATTTAACAAATACAACCACTTGTTTGGGCCGAGCACTGTATCTGGTGCTAAAGTGATAGAAAGCATCATCTTTAGCATCAGGTGTCTATCATCTTATTAACAAAAAAAAAACCATTGATCACTCCGCACAGTGATAGTAATGAACAGCATTTGTCTACGTGCTCTGCAGTGTTGTCTTAATGCTGTGGGGAAGCTCTTTTGGAAGGAGGCAAGCTTTGAGTGGTGACCCCTCCTGCTCAAATGGGCCCCAGCTCTGATATTCCCCTCAGATGATCTATGATGGCTCTTTGCATCACTCCTCAAGGAGAAGAGACACATTCCACCTTGGGGGAGCAGTGGGGTACCATGGAAGTCAGCCACACCTGGGTTGAGCCCTTCTTCATCCACTCTGGAGGTATGACCTTGACTGAGTATTGACCTTCCCAGCCTCAGATTTCCCCTGTACAAACGGAGGGCAGTGGTCATAAAGCCCAGCCTACTATCTAGCACCCAGCAGGCGCCGTGTGCATTTATGTCCTTCTCCCTCTTCTTTTTTTTTTTTTTTGAGACAGAGTCTCACTCTGTTGTCCAGGCTAGAGTGCCGTGGCGTTAGCCTAGCTCAGCAACCTCAAACTCCTGGGCTCAAGCAATCCTTCCGCCTCAGCCTCCCAAGTGGCTAGGACTACAGGCATTCGCCACCATGCCCAGCTATTTTTTTTAATATATTTTTAGTTGGCCAATTAATTTCCTTCTATTTTTAGTTGAGACGGGGGTCTCAGTCTTGTTTAGGCTGGTTTTGAACTCCTGACCTTGAGCGATCCTCCCGCCTTGCTTCCCAGAGTGCTAGGATTATAGGCGTGAGCCACTGCACCCATCCTCACTCTCCTTGACTACATCAAAGGATGAATCAACCACTTGGCTTTGGCCAGTCAGTGGCCTTCTTCCTTGTCACCAAGGCTTTCCTAGCCAGTTGGCAACCAGGAAAAAAACCTTACTAAACCAATGCTACTACTGCAGCCACTGCTACTACTGCTAATGTAAACACCAGCATGGCTCAGATTGCTTTTTAAACCTGTGAGAGTGGCCAAAATGCAGGTCTTATGTGTTTCCAAGGGCCCTAAAACTCCATATGGGAGGTTTTGGAAGAGAGGACCAGGTATCAGTCTTGGTGCTGATAAAAAGGGAAAAGGTCGGTAGCACCAATACGCCTTCCACCTGTCTAGAGAGGAAAGCCCTCATCCTTTCCCTGGAGGAATTTGGCAGACCAAACAAATCTGTATCTAAGAATGTGTTTTTCCAGGAGGGAAGGATCTGATATGGATGGCAAATCTAGAGACCCAAATACCTTTTCTGCCTGGGGGTACATGGAACATACTTTTTTCTTAGTCCTGGGCAAGTTGTACCGGTGGTGGGATGAGGTCAGCAATTAGAGTAGGCTTTTCTGGGCTAGGATTGGGCCTTCGGCTTGTAGGGCAGTTAGCAGTTTCCCAGGGAGAGAACCCAACTTCAGAAATTCATCTCCCCCTGTGACACATCCTTAACAACAACCAGTGAGGTCCTCTGTCCTCTTTGTGAGTGTGTATGTGCATGCCATTGTTTGTGTCAGTTGCTCTGTTATACAGAAAAGTGTTGAGGGCTAGGCAGGTTTTCCAGCGTGCATTTCATGTACCCCCTCAGGAATGCAACTGGCAGCAGTATGGTCTGAGCTTGTGCTAATTCTAAGAAGAAATATTTAAATGAAACTCCATTTGAGTTGTTTAAAAATGGAAAATGTTATTAAGGCAAAGTTATTATGCATTCTAAATGACTTTTTCTATTTTGTTTCTTTTAGGAGAACTATCCTATCCCTGAACCAGGCCCAAATGGTAGGTTCTTAGGAAACTTGATTTATATTTTATTTTTCCTATTGTTTCCCCTGGAGACATGTGTCGTATTGTTCTCTTTCCTACTGTTTCTTACATTTTCCTCCCTTAAACGACTATGGTTTTTTTAGGCTGAGAACCTAGTCCTAGTCCATTGTCCACAGCATGACTGGGTGGGGTAGGTTTATTTTGGCTGCTACGTGAAACAAAAGAAGTAGTGACAGAACCACAAAAATTACTGTAACAGAATGCTGACTTGTCCCAAAGAATTTTTGATGTAAAGTGTATGGACCAAAAGCAGAATTATTCTTCTTTGGACCTAACAACAGAGTACCCCATCTACTATAAGCTGCTATTGGAGTTGCCAAATAGGCCGTTTTTTTTTGTTTGTTTGTTTGTTTGTTTGTTTTAAGAAAGAGTCTTGCTTTGTTGCCCAGGCTAGAGTGAGTGCCATGGTGTCAGCCTAGCTCACAGCAACCTCAATCACCTGGGCTCAAGTGATCCTCCTGTCTCAGCCTCCTGAGTAGCTGAGACTAAAGGCATGCACGACCATGCCCGGCAAATATTTTCTCTATATATTAGTTGGCCAATTAATTTCTTTCTATTTATTGTAGAGACCGGGTCTTGCTCTTGCTCAGGCTGGTTTTGAACTCCTGATCTTGAGGCATCCGCCTGCCTCAGCCTCCCAGAGTTCTAGGATTATAGGTGTGAGCCACCGCGCCTGGGCTATTTCAGGATCTTTAAAGAAAGTAATGTTTACTCTGCTGCTCTGGTGGGTTTGGTTGACCTGCTGATGCCCTCAGCGGTACAGCAAGATTCCCATTCTCTGGAGTTTTGGATACTCAATAGATGCAACTAGAAGACGTCTCTGTGACAACAGTGTGCTATCGTAGGTGAGAAGTCTGTGTGTTCTTATCTTTTGAGTTTTCTTGTTCTGACTTCTTCAGGCCACTGCTTCTGGTGGGACCGTGGTGCTTGTCGGGCTGGGCTCTGAGATGAACACTGCACCCTTTTTGGACGCAGCCCTCCGGGAAGTGGATATCAAGGGCGTGTTCTGATACTGCAACATGTGAGTATGCTGTGGGTGAGCCCACGTGGCCAGCCTCCCGCCAGACCAGGGCAGGCCCCACACCACCTCTGGGACCAAGAGTATCTGCCTGTTTATTCATTAGGGTCACTCTTTGGCCACACTGACAGTTGTGTGATATGATAGGGATCCAAAGAGAGAACACGTGAGTATGCTGTGGGTGAGCCCACGTGGCCAGCCTCCTGCCAGACCAGGGCAGTCCCCACACCACCTCTGGGACCAAGAGTCTCTGCCTGTTTATTCATTAGGGTCACTCTTTGGCCACACTGAGAGTCATGTGATATGATAGGGATCCAAAGAGAGAACATTCACTCCTGGTTAAAGAAAGGGGGAGAGGGAGGGATGCAGAGAGGGAGGGAGATTTTGAAGCATGCTCTTTTTAAGTGTCTGCCATTCATCACCCAGGCCCTCTCTTTTCCATTTCCTTAAGTAGCCAAGCCTCCATTTTCCCCCTTTAAAGGGAAAAAGGAAAGGAGGACAAAAGAAAGAAATGAAGCCCTGTGGCCCCCATTTCTGAGCCCCGGGGCCAACCCAGGGGAGCCAGGGAGTTTGAATTCACCCCACCCATGTTCTACTGCTCCACCCTCTCCCCTGCTGGGGCCCTCTGTCTGGGACATCCCTCCCAGCAGTGTCCCTCACTCCCAGTGTTAGAGTCTGCATCTCCATGCCCTCAGCAGAGCACCAGTTTTCCAGCAAACTCTGCCAAGCAGAGCTGCTAATGGGTATGACTGGATTATCCTGCACCTCCTCCCTGTAGCTTATCTGCCTTTTCTCAGCGGCCTCCATAATATGCCTTCATGCCAAAGAAATGGTAGTCTCCAAAGCAGACATGGCGGGGTAAGGCGTGGGGATGATGGAAACAGGCTCTGTACCCCTGCAAGCCGTGAGGTCCCTTCCTCCACTGTTGGTCTGTAAAATTGGCCTTGCACAACCACAGTGCCGTAAATAGATATGGCCAAGCTTATCTTGTGCCTGGTAGTTTTGGGGAACCTGGCTTTGTCATCTTGAAGGCTGAATTTGTAATGTTTGTGATCTTTTCCAGGTGGCCAGTGGCGATTTCGATGCTGGCGTCCAAGACTGTGAATGTAAAGTCCTTAGTCACCCATAGGTTTCCTCTTGAGAAAGCTCTGGAGGCTTTTGAAACATCCAAGGAGGGAGTGCGGGTGAAAGTCATGATCAAGTGTGACCCCAATGACCAGAATCCTTGATGTTAATTGGACTTGCCCTCATCCCCCCTCTCAGCACCTCAGGGCCAACAGGCTGGGCAGGGGTAGGTGTGGGTTTGATGCCAAAGTTTCTTTTGAATGGTGATTCAATAATTATTAATTATAATTCTTTGTAAACAGAAGGCCTTATCCAGAGGAGTTAGTGTTCCTTAAATACACAAGTAGGGATAGTTTTGGGGAACTTGTAGCCTGAATGACCTGTTCATGCTGAGGAAAGTTCAGCAAACAGAGCAGTGTCTGACAGGCAGGTGCCTCCTGGAGTGCCTTCCTTGAGTCACGGGAGAAATCAGTCTTTTTGGTTCCTGGTTCCACCACGACTGGCCAGGAGGCACCTGGAGGCTAAGTTATGAAGAGACACCTTTGTCAAGACTTAACTGGCCCAGAAACTGATTTTCATAAAAATCTGCCACTCCGTGTCTGCGATGAGGGATTGTCAGCAGTTTTAGTTTAGAGCGCAATGTTTCTGGAGATAAGTGCTGTTCGGTCTGATGCTAAAAGGAGAATAAGAAAAGGGACTAACTTTCCTGGGTCCAGGATAATTTTAAAAAGAATGAAATGAATAGAGCCAAAATTTCATGTGAGATCAAATCAGCTTGCAATCCCCAATGTGGAAACAATGAGCGGAATTCTCAACACTTCTTCAAAATCCCTTCTTCAGCTGCTGAGAACTGCTATTTCATTTGCCAGGTGAAGAGCCAGCTGCCCACCCAACACCCCCACCCCTACCCTTAGGCACCTTCCCTTGTCACTGGGCAGCCAGGAATCTCCTAGCTGAGGACATTTACAGGAAGACCTTAAATAGTGCCTCTGACTAGCCCAGGAGGTTTGGTCACCTCATAAACTTCCCCACCCTGCAGGATTAGCATCTCCTCGTAGGCTTACACTCTCTGATGATTATTAGACAGTTCCATTTGATTCTGGCTATTATAAACAGAAGATCTTTCCCCCTCTCCTAGCCAGTTAAAAGCTCTCAGTATCTTTCTGTTATTGGAATGATATCTCCGAACTTGTCTTATTTTAATTGTTGAAGTCTTCTGTGTAAAATTTTGAGCCAAATTACATCATGCCCACTTGTGACTCTGAGATTATTAATCAAGAATGAGTGCCGGGCTCAGTGGCTCACGCCTGTAATCCTAGCACTCTGGGAGGCCAAGGCAGGTGGATTGCTCGAGGTCAGGGGTTCAAAACCTGCCTGAGCAACAGCGAGAACCTGTCTCTACTATAAATAGGAAGAAATTAATTGCCCTACTAATATATATAGAAAAAAATTAGCCGGGCATGGTGGCACGAACCTGTAGTTCGGCTACTTGGGCGACTTAGGCAGCAGGATTGCTTCAGTCCAGGAGTTTGAGAGTGCTGTGAGCTAGGCTGATGCCACGGCACTCACTCTAGCCTGGGCGACAAAGTCAGACTCTGTCTCAAAAAAAAAAAAAAAAAAAAATGATTATATAGCAGCCCTGACATGACTTGGGCTGTAGCCTTTAATCCCTCACTTGGGTGCTCTTTTCCTTGAATTGTCTGAGTGATCATAGTTGAGTATTTGTAGCTTTATTGATATCAGAAGAAAGTTAAGTTGTAGATTAGAAAACTGCTTAAGCAAGGAAAAGAGCTATCAAAGTGACGCATGGTTGAGAAAAAAACAAGAACTGTTGTGTTTTCTGGTTTAATGAAGACATGTATCACCTGTTCCAATGCATTTCACTTGTCCTTTGTTCTTATCTGTATAAATATAGCAACTGAAATAAGCGAGGCACGGCAGTCACCAAGGACTCCGTCCTCCCGTCCCCATCTTTTTGTTGTCTCTTCATTTCTCAGCCTCGCCCCCTAACTCCAGGTGCCGCATGTCACCGGCTGGCTCTGGCAGGTGGTGGCCCGTACGGGGAACCCTCTCTCCAGGAGGGCCTTTGGTGGCACTTGGTGACACAGGGATTCGGTGAAGGCAGCTGCCCGTGGAAGGCCAGCTGTCACAGAAAGAAAGGTGAGTTGGGCAGAAAGTGTAATTGACGGGAGTAAGAAATTATGGGGCAAGGAACTAGTAGGATGTTGTTTGTACAAGTTTTAAAGAGTATGCTTTTGGCCCGAAGTGTTAAAATAGGAAAAAAGCAGTTACACAATTTTTTAAGTTTTGTAGAAGAAGTATGTCCTTGGTTCCCTGAGGAAGAAACGATAAATTTAGATACGTGGAAGAAGGTAGGAGTTAAATTGCAGGACTATTACTCAGCCCATGGGCCTGAGAAGGTTCTGGTGGATGCTTTTTCTTTTTAGAATCTTATTAGGGATTGTCTAGAACCCCAGCATGAAGGACAGCGCTTAACTTTAGGCCAGAGTTCCGCAATCCCTGAGGATGAATCCGATGATCACTCTCCTCCTTTGCCTGTTAACCCTTATCCAGAGGCTCAGGATCTGTTGTTACAAACTCAGCAGCACTTTAAAGATCCTCAACCTGAGCTCCCTGTTCAGAGTGAGGTTATGTTGGGAGATGCCGAGGACTTGAGACCTTGGGCTCTTGCAGCTACAGCCTCTGTGACTTCTCATACTCAGAAACAGGCACCTAACATGGTTAAGGAATTGGAAACTCTAAAAAATATGATGCAACAACTTCTTATTCAAAATGCTGCTGAAAAACCCTTAAGAGCTCTCTTAGATGTACAGTCACAAAAGTCTTACTCTCCCTCAGTCCTCGCGGGATTCGACCCTCCTCACATACCGCCTGTTGTTGCCCATCTTTCTAAGCCCAAGGTTAAGCCTTTGCTCATTCCTCCTTCTCTTAGAGAGTCCTCCCTCTCTCGTTCCTCTCCCCTACAAAAACCGCTGATGAAGGCTTTTGATAATAATGATGATCTGGGAGGTTTCTCTTTGTTCCCTGTTATTCAACAGGAGGATGGGGATCCTTGGTATCATCAGCCTCTCCCCATCAATGTCCAGACCAATGCCACAGCTATGAGGGCTTGGCGTAAGCTGCCCGGCTCGCAAAAGTCTGAGGACTTGTCTAAGATCAGGCAGGGTCCTGATGAGCCTTACCAGAACTTTGTCTCTCGCTTGTTAGAGACTACAAGAAGATTGGTCAGTGATAGCGAGACTGAAGCCCTTTTAGTGAAACAGTTGGCTTTTGAAAATGCTAATTCAGCCTGTTAGGCGGCTATACCTCCTTTTAAGAAAAAGGGGACTCTTGACGATTTTATCCGGCTTTGTGCTGACATTGGCCCTTCTTATATGCAAGGGGTTACTTTAGCAGCCGCCTTGCAAGGGAAATCAGTAAAGCAGGCCCCTTTTCAGCAGCAGACTAAAAAAGGGAACTCTAAACAGCCTAAGGTTGGCGGCCCTCCAGGCAGTTGTTATAACTGTGGGCAGCTGGGACATCGTGCAGCCCAATGCCCAAAACCTCAGATGGATGATCCTCCAAAGAAACTTCCTGGACTTTGCCCTAGGTGTAGAAAAGGAAATCACTGGGCCAGGGATTGCAAATCCACCACGGATGTGTATGGAAATAAGCTTGCTCCCCATCAGGGAAACTGGAAGAGGGGCCAGCCCCTGGCCCCCCAACAATGTTATGGGGCACTGCAGGGACAACCCCTTAAGGGGGAGTCCCAGAACCAGGGAGGAAATCCGTTTCTGACCTCTTCCGAGCAACCCCAGGCAGCGCAGGACTGGACCTCTGTGCCTCTACCTACACAGTATTAACTCCAGATATGGGTGTGCAGGCTCTCCCCACTGGGACTTTTGGACCCCTGCCCCTGGGCTCCATGGCCTGTTATTAGGTAGAAGCAGTATCACCTTGAAAGGCTTACATGTGTCACCGGGGGTTATAGATCAGGATTATACAGGGGAAATGAAAGTTTTGGTCTCCTCTCCTAGCTCCATTTCTGTTGTCAACCCCAGCCAACACATTGCTCAGTTTGTTTTGATCCCTTTGATATCCCTTGGTAAAATACAATTGCAATAAGCCAGGGGACCCTCTGCTTTTGGCTCCTCAGATGCTTACTGGATGCAATCTATTACTAGGAATAAGCCTGAAATGGTTTTGTGGGTGAACGGCAAGGCCTTTAAAGGAATTCTAGATACTGGAGCTGATGTTTCTGTTATTGCTGAGCAACACTGGCCCTCCTTGTGGGCCAAGCAGGAAGCCGTTGGCTCGCTCCAAGGTATAGGCCAAGCCTGTAATCCTGAACAGAGTAGTGAATTGCTTACCTGGGTTGATGAGGAGGGACATTCCGGACAATTCCAACCATATGTTCTACCTGCTCTACCCATTAATCTTTGGGGAAGAGATGTTATGCAGGCTATGGGAGTTTATTTGTATAGCCCTAATGCCACAGTTACTGAGCAACTCTTTGATCAAGGGATGCTCCCAGCCCAAGGCTTGGGAATTAGGGGTCAAAGTATTTCTAAACCTATTCAAGTAAAGCCCCGGCCATTTCAAGTAGGCCTGGGATATTTATAGAAGGGGCTTTTGATTCTCCTGCAACTCATGCAGAGGCTGTTACTTGGAAATCTGATGCACCTGTGTGGGTTGATTAATGGCCCCTCAATCAAGAAAAAATAGCCACTGCAGAGCAGCTGCTGCAGGAACAGCTTAATAGCGGCCACGTAGCCCCCTCCAACTCCCCTTGGAATTCTCCAATTTTTGTCATTAAAAAGAAGTCTGGAAAATAGAGGCTGCTCCAAGATCTTAGACGTGTTAATGCCACCATGGAACTCATGGGAGCTCTGCAGCCAGGTCTCCCTGCCCCCATGGCTATTCTAGCCCATACTTTTAGAATTATAATAGATTTAAAAAACTGCTTCTATACCATTCCTCTTGCACCACAAGATTGTAAACGTTTTGCTTTTAGTGTTCCTTCTACTAACTTTAGAGAACCCATGAAGCGTTATCATTGGCTTGTTCTGCCTCAAGGCATGGCCAATAGCCCCACCTTGTGCCAAAAATTTGTTGCCAATGCTTTAACTGCTACTAGAACCAAATATCCTACTGTATATATCGTCCACTATATGGATGACATTCTTTTGGCACATGCAGATGAAGGATTCTTACTGCAAGTTTTTGATCATGTAACAACACAGTTAAATAAACAGGGCCTTGTCATTGCTCAGGAAAAGGTGCAGAGGCACCCTCCTTATTCTT